TTTTTTTTTCGACCAGAAAACAACGATCGCACACCCAACACCAAGAACAGCGCTGATGCAGACTACAACCAAGAAGCTCCAGGAATCCGACGAGTGCTTCCTGCCAACATTTTTCTTAATCCTAACCAGGCATGCTACACACAGTTTTTTGCAAACGGACGGCCACCAATTGGTTTACGTACTGCCAACTTAGCGAATATGAGGTACATCTGTCAACAGGTGCCCGCGCATCCGGGAACGTACTTCTACGCGACGATGTTCGATGAAGGTCGGGGAATTGCAGTTTATTCAGCGTACGTTTTGAATGCGAACAACATCAATTTTCAAGGACAAGGAGGGTTTGGATGGATCCAAACCAACGGTAACTTATTTACATGTACACTGAAACTAAGAAAGAATGAAAAGTGAGAGACCCGTTTACAAATCATCAAATATTGTCGCTCGCGGGCGATTGGTCTAAACACGTCACGTGACTGAATATTCCCCAGCTAAAACTGGAGAATATCCGAGTTTTATAATCCATCAGATATTTTCGCTTGCGCGCGATTGGTTTAAACCCGTCGCGCGACCGAATATTCCCCAGCTGCAACCGGGGAAAATCCGAGATTTGTATAATTTCCAGAGGTGATAATAATTAAATATCCCCCAATTTTCAAAATCGCGCGCGTTACGAAAAAGATTTAATTTGAAGGATAATAAACACCATAGCCTCCATTTGGGTAGAAAATATGCTAGGATATTTGTCATTGGACATTATCTGTTCCTGGAAGCTCACAGTTTTCCTCGAGCCACGCTCTCGGAAAACTGTTCGCTTCTCGGAACAGATAATGTCCACGGACAAATATCCGATCATATTTTCGCGCCAAATGGAGGCTATTGTTTATACAGGCCTTACTCCTGAGGCAATCTTAAGACATGGTATCCAGCCCTTCCACGGTGAACGTTACCACTTAAGATAGGTAAAGGTTTGCGTGAAATATGAAAAGCGTGTAGAGCCGTTTGCGATGAAACCAACAAAAACAACAAAAACTAAACAAAAGGACGAAAGCGGAAATAAGAGAGTAGAGGAAAAAAAGAGACTGACATTCCTTTGAATTTTTATATCGTCTTCCTTAGAGAAGACAGCGAGCAAGACTTTCTTTAACCCTAAGTTTTCATGAATATATACATATAAATAATTTATTTCTTTACATTCCTGCAAGGTATCCAACACCAAGGAAGCAATGGGATATATGCGGGTCAGCCTGCGGGGCAGCAGTTGCACAAAGGTCACTTGTTCGCAGCTCTGACTTCCTCGGGGCTCCCGCAGATCGCCCCGAACGCCCAGAACGCCGCGAACAGCGCTCGTTCCACTTATCAATACACAAATGCCGTGCCACAGTGTGCAGCTTTCAACACCGGTCAGTGGAGAGTTTGGGAAGGGAGCATTCGAACGTACGCAGTGAATATATGCATACCGGCGCAGGGTACCTTGTACCTTATAACAGGCGTTTCATTCGTTGGTATCACAAACGCTAACCCTCCACAGGCAGTTCAAGTTCCGATTACCACATTGCCACCAGCGCCACCGAATAATCCGGCCGCCATAGACAAACCAAATTCAATGTGGACCGCCGCCATTTGTGTACCCGCCCAAGGTGGCCAGCCATACAGCTTTGCAGTGATTGGGAACAACGTTCAGATTCCAGCTAATATGTTTACACAGCAAATTACCGTAGCACAGCTAGAGGTTATTCTTCAGGCCGACATTGTAATCAATGGGGTCAAACGGAACATGGGGGGAAAGGTCAAACTGTTTCCAGGAATTACCAACTCTCGGAATTATAATAATGAACTTCCCGAAGACAAGTATCCCGAGCCCGTGGAAAACGAATAAACTTGGATGCGGTACAAAAATGTCATAACATGGAAATGACCAAAAAATATATGGAATAACGATAATTAAGAAACTAATATGTGTAAACGGTAAAGTAAATTCAAAAAAATAAACTTCAAATTGGCAAACTCAGAACGTCGTTTTTTGTAATAAACTGCTTAGCGTATTTTACCAGTCATGTAGTTCGACACTTCAACATCCCCTCGGGTAACGCCCCGGCAACCACCCCTCTGGCATATGGCATTTTGAATTTTTGTTTCACCTAATTCCAGGGTCTAAACCAGTAGTCAATTTCTTACCCGATGTTGTGAGGAATTTGAGGTGATAAAAGCCCCTAGCCACAAGATATACATGTACAAGACACCGTCAGAAATTGGTAATGGCAAAGAGATGAGACAGTTTATATATCACTCTAATAGAATTATGGAAAATGGCTTTGGAATACATAAATTGCGTTTTCACTAGGCCGATTAACTACCTGAACATTCTTTCTGGGTGTTTGGTTACAGACCAACATTCGCTAGTTAAACGTGACGTCTGTTTGCACTAAACATTCAACCCAGAATTTGACCCGCTGTCTCGGAAGATTCAAATTACAAAAGCGCGCAACTTGCAAAAATGGCTGAGAGAGGAAGCGCTTTTAATGACTTCTCTTGTATCGATTCTAGCGATATTAATGCGAAGGAGATCGAGAAGGCATTTTTTCCAGGGGACGCGGTTAATGTTCCCAGAAATGAGGAAGATGCGACGAAATGTTGTAATGCTGGAGCTCGTACTGCACGGTGACGCCGTGTCATAGGCAAGGTCCTGGCCGAGGAACTGGAGAATCTAACGGGACCGTAGAAATCATTCCTACGGTCCCCTAAGATTCTCCAGTTCCTCGGCCAGGACCTTACCTATGACACTATACCAGTGGTAAACCGAATTAAATGAGAAGCACTGCTGAACTCGTCTGCCGCTTTAAAACTTCTGTTTCGCACACTGAACCGTGATACGAGCGTCTGGTAAATACTATTGCCAGATTCTTTGGCAAACGTCTGTGACTACGCACAATGTGATTGGCTGCGGCATTTACCAGGACAAGTTATACCATCTCGCGAGGTAGTATAACTTGGCGTAAATTTACGGTCATATAGGCGAGACAATCGCTTGTTTTTTTTTTTGTTTTTGTTATTGTTTTTGTTTTGTTTTTCTGGTGAAAACAGAGTGCATTTTTAACGCGCTAAACTCAAGACGAACTGTTTTCACTTCACTTCCAGACTTTTCCGACCTTATCTAGCCAAAATTGTCCTAGTGTAACGCTTCCAAAACACATAATTTATGTGCAAGTTGGTGCATGTAGGTACTTGCCCGAACTTGGGTTCTTGCAGGGTAGATGTTGCAATATTTGAAATTTCTCCGCAGCTTGGTTTTGCTTACAGCAAGAGCTCCTGTGAGCAGGAGGGCAGGCGAGCTAGCTAGCGAGCGAGCAAGCAGAACCCTACATACAAGAAAATTTCGTAATCCATTGAACAAAATATCTTGGGGTCACGTGAACGTCCGTCCGTACATCGTACGTCCGTCCGCCACTTGGGCAAATTGTCAAGCTTTGAAGCTCTTGTTTTCGTTCACAACACAATAAATTACCTCCTTTGCTTTTAAAATGGAAGGAAGAAACACAAAACAATGTTTAAGAGTTAAATCATGGACTAGGGGGTCATAAAACCCTTGCTGGTGAAGAAAACCTGGAGAGTTTTCCTTTCCTTCGATGACGTGATGATTAAATGCGCCTTCGAAATGACCAAAGAAGGTCTTTTTATACCTGAACCACTTGTTTATAAACTGTATGTAACAGCTCCCTTAACTAAATGAATAAAGTAAATAAATAACTTTATATTATTTAAGTGTCAACTGTATTTAGAACAGTTATGCTAATTGGGGACACCTTGACTAAATAATAAAAAATATTGCTAGTTGGGCGGCTGACCAGCTGGCTAGTAGTTGAACTCTGGACTACCAAGAAAAAAATCCAGAGAGCGGTAAGGTGGAGTAACTGATCCAGGGACCCAGCGCCCTTAACCACTCGGCCACATCGCCTCCAAAAGACCTTTGATAACTTGTTCGTCCCAGGCTCGTCCCTTCCCAGTGAGTTTTCTGGTATATTCTGTTATATTGCGCCGCCAAGTACACCCAGTATTTCACATCGAATCACAGTCACAAGTTACAAGAGTTCTAATAGGGTTTCCTGTGTACAATTTTTCCGTTCTTTATGACAAACTTGATCACGTTGTCATGGCCACCGAGTTGATAGACAAGATGCTCCCATCTGAAACAAGACACAAAGTACGCAGTCAACTTAAGCAGCTGTGAAATTAAAGCCTGAAAAAAATTCAGGCTTGAACGGAATTCGAATCCACGACCTCTGGGATACCGTTGCAGTGCTCTACCAACTGAGCTATCAAGCCCAACTGGGAGCTAGCTGGTTACGTCGTGAGTTCGTAATATACCCGTAGATGGTGAAGATATAGGGGAATAGCTCACAGATCATATATTTGAAGTAATATATCAAACGCGAAAGACCCTGTTTGACCACATTACCAAACACGCAGAGGGGAATTGAAAATACGACGCGTAGCGGAGTATTTTTGACGAACCTCGAGGTGTTTGGAAATGTGGTCAAACACTGTCTTGAGTGTTTGATATATCTTCTAAATCGAAACTAAAACTAAGGAGGAAAGGGAGAAATAAAGTCGTAAAAATCTATGCTAATTAATTTCCTTTGTTTAAACTTGATAAATTATTAATGAGTTTGAGAACTGCGGGGAAAGATTTACACCCCTTAGCGAGACAAGCAGCTCTGACCTTTTCCTAAGTTGTGTTTATAACTGCGATGATCAACCATGACTCCGTATCTATCTCCGCAGTTCAAATGTGTGATCTTTTATATATTCCCTTCAACTTTAAAGAGCAACTACACAATACAGGGCCACTTTTGGAGCTGCATAAATTTAGTGACTCGTTTGGCTCGGCAGTGGATAAAAGAACAAGGAATAATCCATATATAAGGGAAGTACTAGGTCTATATATTTAGAGGCTCGTTTGGCTCAGCAGTGGATAAAAGAACGAGCAATAATCTTTGTATACGTTAAGTCCTGGTCAATATATTTAGTGGCTCGTTTGGCTCGGCAGTGGATGACAAAGGAGCAAACAAGCCAAAGGAGCCGGCTCGTTTGGCGGATTCATGATTAGAAGTGACCCTCAGTATTCTTTAGTTTAGCCAAAAACATTTTTTTTTTTTTTAAACTAATTCGGCAATGGTGGTCAGCAGAGTGCTCAGGTGACACATTTACAACGAAGGTGAACACGAATTACAAAAAAAAAAACAAAAAAAAACCAGACTTATTAACAAATAGCAAACGAAACTACTCACGGACGCATACGAAGACATGTAGAACTCACGCTCACAAGATTGATACATTACCACAGCAGGGATTAAAGTATAAGACACAAAGTAAGATGATGACTTGAATGAGTAAGATGATGACTTGAATTATTGCATCTTACACGTTTCGAGCAAATAGCCAAAAACGCTTCGAGGTCTGCGAACTGTCCGTGGTCTCGTATGGAATCGTCGGAAAATTAGCATTATACCCCAAAAAAGAGATCAGTTCGGGCGTGGCTCAAGCCTTATTTAAACACCCCCTCTCNAAAAAAAACTAAAATGGACCTGACCGCATTATCTTTATTATTTAGTCAAGTGCACCCTAAAAGATGTCTTGACGGCTAAAAATAGTAGAGCTTCTTCCGGATCCACCTAGGTCTACCAGAGCCCATGATTTACACCCCTTAGTGAGACGGCAAGCATCTCTGACCTTTTCACCTGAGTGTCACCCCCCTTCCCGGGCTATGGAGGTTCCATACTTTTATGAACTTTAGGCTGATAAATACTTATACATGTAGCTAAGTGTTTCCTAACAAAGAGTTACCTTGGAGCATCGATAACCAGCATGTCGGCCACCTTTCCAGACTCCAGGGATCCATGAGTGTGTGACCGGCCTAAAGATGCTGCCGCATTGATTGTAGCAGCTACAAGAGACTCCTCCATTGTCATGTGCAGATTAACACAGGCAAGGTGCATTGTCAAAGGCTGGTCAAACAAAATGAGATAGTCCGGTTTACACAAGGGATTGGCATTAATGAGTAAAGCAATATTTTTGTAGTAGAATTAGTCTGTAAAGCCTGACACTTGTTTGAGATGCCAACATATTAAATCAGAAAGACTAAGTTTGACCACACTTCAAAACACTGAGAAGCATAGCGGATTATTTCGACGAACTTTAAGGTGTTTGAAATTGTGGCCAATTTCTGTCTTGAGTGTTTAAAACATTTTCTCAATCGAAACTTAAACTATGAAGAAAATAGAAAAAAAAAAGAATCTACGTCAATTAAGATCAGAAATCCAAACACAGTCACGATTTTCATTTACTTTGTTTCAACTGCAGGATGAGTTAATAATAATTTATGTGAGAATTCTACAGCAATATCACTTGCACTGTGTTAAGTTTTAATACAGCATCGACAGGGCTTTACCTTTACGGTCACTTACCATGGACAAACAGAATGCATTCGGGTTAAAATCAGAACCAAGAGCAACAGGGACACCTGTTTAAAAACATAATCATTCTTAGGGTGACAGTAGCTAATAGCACCAGAACATTTTTTGAATTATCAGTTTTTTGAAACAATGATGTAAACAGTTAACTAAAATTATCAATAGTGAAATAATTTTCTTATTCTACATTGGGACAGCAAACAGAGTGTTATCTTGGGTATAAGGTCTGCAGAGTTGGACAACCCAAATGGCCCATCAGACCAGAGTTATCTCTGTTTCTGTAGCATGACCTAACTAGGGGTATACGCTGGGTCAAATCTCCCGGTCTCCCGTACGGGTCATCAAATCTCATCGATACAGTAGAAGTGCTTCATTTTCACACATCTTTAGGCTCTGATTTTTGGCATTTTTGGAGGAAAGCACTTTTTTAGATATATAAGTTTTTTTGTTTGTTTGTTTGTTTGTTTTGTTCTTGTTTTTGTTTTTGTTTTTTTTTGGGGGGGGGGGGCACAAATTGACAAAGCTCTACCTGTAACAATGTTTTTATTAGGAATGAAAAGGCATAAATGGCAATCTCCCAGATTTCAATTAGTTTAGGTTTTAGGCCTGTGAAAGCAGAGAACAATGGAGGCAAAATATGTCTGCAGCTAAATTTGTACCTGAGTTAATCATTGCTCTTGCTGGTGGGCATTTAAGTCGCAGGATGTATGCCGTGGTGGGAAGAAGTACAGCAATAACAGATGCTGCAGACATGGCTTGAATTCCCTCATCACTTACTTCTTCAAGATGGCTTATTGCCCTCGCCCCAAGTTCAGCCCCTAGCTGACATGCAAACATTAAATCATTGATTGTTTGTCAAGAGCCTTTCAAGTAATAAGGTCATTGAAGCACAGCAGGCTAGCAAACTTTTTTGCAATTCCACATAACCCTCACCCTTAACAATTATTTACATTTGTAACCAGCAAGCATTATTAATAATATTTAATAATATTTAAAGTTGCAGTTTTACATGCAGCTTAGGCAGTTGCAAACAAGACAAAGCCTGAAATTNTTCTTCAAGATGGCTTATTGCCCTCGCTCCAAGCTCAGCCCCTAGCTGACATGCAAACATTAAATAATTGATTGTTTGTCAAGAGCCTTTCAAGTAATGAGGTCATTGAAGCACAGCAGGCTAGCAAACCCTTTTGCAATTCCACATAACCCTCACCCTTAACAATTATTTACATTTGTAACCAGCAAGCATTATTAACAATGTTTAATTATATTTAAAGTTGCAGTTTTACATGCCATACAAAACTGCAACTTTAAATATTTGCAAAAATGTAAACATTCAAATGTTTGCAACTGCCTAAGCTGGCAGCTTAGGCAGTATGCAAACAAGACAAAGCCTGAACTTTTTTCAGGCCTGAATGAGATTCAAACCCACTGCCTCTACAATATCCTGGTCATCAAAGAAGTCATGGGTTCGAAAATTCAGTCCACATCTTACACTAAAGTGAGAGGCAAATCTATATACAGTACCTCTGCAGCTTTCATTGGGTGCAGTTCATCACCATGGAAATTCAGAGCCAACCCTGCAGCTTTTCCTGCTTCAAGAATTCTCCTGGTTTCATCTAAACCAAACACACCCTTCTCACAAAATACATCAATGTTGTCAACATTTATTTCCTCATTTTTCATCAGTTCCTGAAGCTTAGGAATCTGGTAATTGACAACATTATCAGTTGCTTCTTCAGGAGTACTCCCTCTGAGAAGAACAACAACAAAAAAGAGTCAATCATTTTTTGCTGCAAAATGTCAATAAATAAGCCATGTAGTAGACTACGAATAGTCCCTCTTTCGCATTTACACGGTTTTCTTTTGCATCACGCATTCAAGGCAGACTAAGCGAGAGAAAGACTACACTTGTACTGTTAAGAAGTGTGGCATATCCATGACAT